GTTGGACACTAAGAAGCAAGAATCTAAGAGAAGACAATACAGGGGAGACTTTGCCAGTCAGAATATTTAACTACACAGAAGAAAGAAGCACATGAAAGTTTAAAAAAGGTAATTTTATTCAYGAAGACCACAGAYTCATAGAAGAYATTAGAAAACAAAAARTAAATAAAAGGAAACACTGTGTTCCATGCTATTTCTCAAAATATTAAAAACACCCCAGCCCTACAACTTTCTTTGCACTCAAATGTTCTCCTTTTAGATGGACGTATGGCTCACTTCTTCATCCTGATCTCCTCTCTCAAGTAACTTCATCAAACAGGTCTTTCCTGATAGCTATATATAAGATATATAAAATAGCTCTTGAGTTCTTTATCTTATAACCTGGCTTTGTCATACTTTGTGGTGGGTATGATTTTTCTCCCATCCCCTGTCCCAATTAGCATGAGTAGGAAAGAACTGATTCTACTAGTCCCATTGCTTCTGCTTCCTAGAGGGTCTTCTAATTTTTTGCCCTCTCTCCCTTTCAGCTGCCTCCAGCATCAGCTCAGCCACCTGTCAGCTCACTGGCAGGATTCATTACATTCTCCCTGAGTCCTTTACAATCTATTCTCTGGCTGCATCAGGAATGCTGTCTTAGTCTTGGAAACCTAATCACAACCTTCCTTGCCTCGACTGAAGTACCTCAAGGGCTATCCAATGCTTGAGGTCTATGAGATGCCAGAAGATCCAACCTGACTCGCTCCAGCTTCCTCTGCCCATCATACTCCTCTTCAGTATCTTCGAGATCTAATAAGAGATCCCCTTTCTCCCTTCAGGTTTTCCCATTTGCTTTTCCTCTTTCTGCCCCCTGAAAGCAATGCCTTCTGGTCTTGGTTTAAACATCCTTTCCCTAATTCCACAGTTCACCAGGAATACCAGTCTAAGTCCCCATAAGAACCTTTCCTTGTACTTGTCCTTAATTCTTCAACATCTGACTTTCCTGATAAATTGGAATTTCACCTGTCATGGACCCATCAGCAGACCTATCAGTCTTGATCACACCTGCATCCTTCCAGTCATATACATGCATGCTCAATAGATAAATGTTGAATTATTCTACAGGGTTTTTTTTTTAAGAATCAGCTTCTAGTGAGAGGCTAGTTTATCTAGTTTATCTTGAATAAGTTCAACAATAAATGTTATTCTATTTTCTCCTGTGCCATTGAAAAAATCTATATTACCCATCCCCACCTGTTCCTATGTTGAAAACATGAAGACAGACATAATTAAATTTTATATGAAAAGTCACCTGTTAAATCATCTCTCAAAAATGGAACATCATATCTTCGAGAAACTTTTAACTTGTAAGAGAAAGTGTCACTAAAGATGATTCCCATTGCATGCGGGAAATACTCAAAAAGTACTTCATCCATGTCTTTTTTATCTGGTACCMCAATGATTCTTGTTCCTGCAAATTATAAGGTAAAAATAGACATACAAAATTGTAATTGAGTTTCCTCAACACAAAATATTCAACTGTCTTCACATATTTTTATTAGTCTCAACACTAATATTATTTTCCATTTAAATCAAACTTGAAATAAAAGTCAAGTGGACATTTTTATTTTAATTCTTCAGATTCCAGAATCAGGAGACATATATGAGAATGAAGTGTTTTCTTTTTTTAAATGACAGGCATCAGGGAAAGTTTTATGTATACAAAAAAAAAACCATTATGGTGGGATTAGTCAACATTATACAATGAAGTTATGAAAACTTAGAGGCAATTGTAGTCACTCTACAGCTGAGTATTCCAGATTCCAGATTCACTAAAGAAAAAAAATTGTACGACCTTTGTCCTATGCAGAAACCAAGATAACAAACAACTCTATTTATAACAACCAGAAGCTTCACTTGTTAGAAAATAAGTATTAAAGACACTTCTCAGAATATGATATACAATCAATCAACAAATATGTTAAAAAAATGTTCATCATCACTAGCAATTAGAGAAATGCAAATCAAAACCATTCTAAGATTTCATCTCACTCCAGTCAGAATAGCAGCTATTATGAAGACAAACAACAATAAGTGTTGGCGAGGATGTGGGGAAAAAGGTACACTCATACACTGCTAGTGGGACTGCAAATTGGTGCAGCCAATATGGAAATCAATATGGAGATTTCTTGGAAAATTGAGCAAGGAACCACAATTTGAACCAGCTATCCCTCTCCTCAGTCTATACCCAAAGGACTTAAAAGCAGCATACTACAGGAACACAGCCACATCAATGTTTATAGCAGCACAATTCAAAATAGCTAAACTGTGGAGAAATATATATATATTTCTATATATATTTATAGAAATATATATATATTTCTATAAATAGAATATTACTCAGCAATAAAAGAGAATGAAATCCATTTGCAGGTAAATGGATGTAGTTAGAGAAGATAATGCAAAGTGAAGTTAGCCAATCCTGAAAAACCAAATGCTGGATGTTTTCTTTGATATAAGGAGGCTGATTCATAGTGGTATAGGGAGAGGGAGCATAGGAGGAATAGATGAACTCTAGATAGGGCAGAGGGGTTGGAGGGGAAGGGAGGGGGCATGGAGTTAGAAATGATGGTGGAATGTGATGATCATTATCCAAAGTACATGAATTGGTGTGAATGTACTTTGTATACAACCAGAAATATGAAAAATTGTGCTCTATATGTATAATAAGGATTGTAATGCATTCTGCTGTCATATATAAATAAAAATAAAAATCTTAAAATTTTAAAAAAGAGTAAATAGATTCAAACCTGTTTGCTCATAAATAAAATATACAGTTTGTTCATCTTGGTTATAAAAAGACATAATTTAAAATAAAGACCTCTAAAGATGTTTATGAATTGAACTATATTCAGAAAAGAACAACCTTTTGATTATACTATGTGTAGAAAAAAGCAATCTTCAAATTATCTATCTTTTCATAGTTATGAGATTACTGTTATATAACTAATATCTAATCTTTTACTGAGTTTTTTGTTTATGAGCAATACATATTAATCATTGTATTTCCATGTTAAAACCATAAATATTTACCAATGGTTATATTTCTCCCATTTATTACTCTGCAAATATGAAATTATAAATCTGATGTTTCATTACTTTCCAGTAGGAATGTAGGCCTCCCTAAATATAACTCTCATCAAAGCTAATTGTTCTGACTGCCCCCCCACCAAAAACAACTTAACAAAATTGGATGCTATCTTGATGCTGAAATTGTTAGCAGAATATATCATTGTCACCTCAAATTAACATGTATACATCTTTTCAAAAATTATGTACTAATATCAGTAATGCTTTCTTGCCATTAGTACACCTACCTTTCATTAAGGGAGCAAATGCTGTTGTATTCATTATCTTCTGGGTTATATTAGAGATTGGCATATACACAATTATTATAGAAGAGATATTAAATTTGTCTATCCTTCCYAGATCTTGAGGAGGTATCTCAGGTAACTGGGCATTTTCTCTGACTCCTGAAAGCAGACCCACATACAGTCCTAGCAGTATTGGGAGGCCCCATTCCTATAAAATATTTGACAAAAAGAAGGAGGAGGAGGAGGAGGAGGAAAGAGACGAGCTTAGATCATTTTTTTAAAGTCAATCGATATCAAAGAACTGTTGATGACAAATTTCAGTTTTCCCATATAGCTGGCCTCTTTCCATTCTCCACTCTTCAAAGCAAAGAAAACCCAATAAAAGATAAATATTAAGTTAATATCCACATATATCCTTCTCAGATGCTAGAACTAAACTTTTGCACTAATTCATGAACTACTTCAGAAGCCATTTGAAACTAACAGAACACCTAATTGARTGCTAATCTCTGAACTCCTAGGCAGCCAATTCAAGATTCCATGGGGTATTCCAGAGAGGGTTCATGGGGCAAATAGCAATGTTTTCTCAGTTATGATATCCTTATATCAAAAACTAAAGGAAATAAGAAGGAACTGAGTGTTAAAGTTTCTCTAGTGAATCCACAATGTCAAAAACCTCTTTGTCCTTTAATATCATGCTAGACTAGGTTCCCTGCCTCCTAAAATTAAGTGAGACAAAATGTTTGAGTTCCGACCAGTAGGATGTGGATAGAAGTGATAACATGCTACTTCCAAGCCTGGCTTGGGAACCCTCACACAACCTTCCATACTCTATATCAAGTCTTCCTTTTTCTCATCTACTGACTGGATGCAGAGGATTCCATGAAGGTCTATAAGCCCTRGCAAGATGACCAGTCTCTAGTAGAAGAAGCCTGGGTCTCTGAATGACTGTGTAGAGAAATTGTACCATCTACTCAACCTACTTCTCCATTACAACCTTCAGATTACAACAAGAGAGAAACAAATCTTTTCTTTGTTAAGCCACTGAGATCTGAGCTAGTTACCTGCAGTTAGCCTGCTGCCTGATGTAAACCCACAGTGGTGTGACTTGAAAATTCTCAGAAATAATCTTTAGATAGAAAATTAACAGTCTTAAATATGAGAGTATAAAATTAACATTTCTCAATTTATGCTAGRCCAATTTTATTTCAATTTCTTGGTTCTAAGTGGATAACACGGTAGCTTTAACTGTTCATATAATTTACCATTTAATTAAAAGTACACTGAATTTCTCTTTAAAAATATGAGTAGTACTGTTACTCTTTACAAATCTAGGTTATTTTTCAAGGACTATTATGCATTTCTCAATTAAACAAATACAACTAGAGACAACCTCAAAAATCAACATATCTGGTCTGTTATCTAAAGCGTAACATTTGAAATCATTAAGCAACAAAATAAAACTGGAGAAGGAGACAAACTGTCTTACATACCAATGCACTCTCTCTTTTCATCCTCCATTTCTTAAGAAAATTCTTACACAGAAGAGCTTGAGTTTGCTGATACACACTTATCTGTCTTATTCTCATTTTGCCTCTTCATTAAATAAACAAAGAGAAATAAACCAGAAAAAATAAGCATACTAAGAAAAATCATGATTATGTTTTTGAGTAAAATATTTACTACTTCTAAAAATTGTAAAAAAARGGATTTAAAATTGTATTGCGATAATTCATGACTAAAGATTCACCTCACATATATTCACTTTATCTGGGGGATTGAGAGATGGTGTAGAGGTAGAGTGATTTGTTTTCACATTTTTCAGCAACAGAATTCTACACTTTCTAGAAAAACTATCATTTGAGTTTAGAACCTGTAACTTCACTTTTTTGACCTTTCATAGCAGAATTCAATAATGTGAATAATTAAATTATATCTCTTCCTATTAATAGTCATTTCTTGCTCCTTGCACTTTAATGAAAATCTCAAAGCTAATCAAATTAATGTCAAAATTCAGATTACTTCAGTTCATGTGAATAATAAGTAACATTCATTAGTTATGACCCCAGTGAAATATTTTCTTGTAGTATTTACCTTCAGATTGCAGTGGACAACTTTTAACAAAAAAAAAATAGGCTGTGGGATCACTATCAGGACTCAAAGTGCATAAAATTCRATTCTGAGACACAGGAAGAATAAAACAATTTCCTTTAAATTTCTCAGGTTAGTTGCTGAATAATTCAGGAAACAAACTGTGAAACAAGTTTTAAAAAGATGAAGAAGGAAAGAATGAATTATATGGGAAATTAATTTCACCGGAGTGTTCTCAAACAAACATAAGTCATTTTTGTTTTTCAGTTTTTTATAATCTCCAAATTTAATTWTTCTTTCAGATTTGCATATCAAAATATTTATGCAATTCTCTGTTGGTGAAAACAGAAGTAAATTTTGCTATTTTCATATATTTTACTGTTATAATACAGGATAAAAGTTGGGAAAAAATAGAAAAAATTTAGTCATTAAGTCTTCAACATGAAAACATCTAAAAATTATGATTTTAACAGTGTCCACCCACATATTTGGCATACTACAGGAAAAAAAAAAAAAAGCTTTACTTACTGTCAGGAAAATTAGAAAAAACTCCTCTGGAAATGGCAAATCACAGTTCTCTTGTACCTAGTGTAACAATGAAAACTTTAAAATGTATTGTTGCTGCTACATTTATTACCTAAGTAGGTGGCTACTCCTAGCAGTTCTTACTCAGATTGGCTTCTACAGAGGGGTGTAGTCAAGCCAAGCGGCACATGATGAACTTGTTTTGTTCTCTCTCCTTTTAACCCCTAAACCAATTATTCTGCAGGGAAATGACTATTCGGTGATTGGTTGAGAATAAAATATGTTTGTTCATCTAGTTTGTTCATCTAGTCTTTCAACTCCAGGGATAGGGGAGAAATGGTAAATAAGGAAAATTGTACTAGTCCATCAGACATCATGAGACCAAGATGAAGGAAAGAGTAAGAAAAGAGTAAAAAAAATATACTAACCAAAGTTATACTTGTATGAGAAATATTTCTTTCTTTTCTTTTTTTTTCTCCATTACTGATGTCAATTATAAACTTGACCAATTCAGACTAAGTGGGCAAAACATGCTGGAGCTGAAATTTTTTTTAATTTTTTTTCTTTCCTTTATTTATTTTTCTACTAAAGCTATACAAAAAAAAAAAATGACTTCTCCCTTAGAGGAACTAAGATGCACAAATGAAGAATTAGGAACAAATTTCTTTTTTTCCATTCTTTTAACAGTAAATGAAGGAATGGTAAGACGTGTGAACAAACTAATAGTAAATGTGTTACCAAGGACTAAAAATATTATAAGATTCAGGAGAATTTCTGAGCATGAATACTAGAAAAAAACGAAAATGTATTCAATTCTCATTTCAAAGTCTATCTCTCCAAAAAGAATTGCAAACTTTTCTTGACCTGTCACAATAAATGGCAAAATAGGAAACCAAAGTTCATGTATT